TCGGCCACCTACAGTATCCCCTACACCATTTGGCCACCTGCAGCAGCCCTTACACCATTCTGTCACTGTAAACACAGCCTGTTCTTGGAATTTTTCCAAGAACCAGGGCAACAACCAACCTAGTTCTCTAGGTTCTGATCAGTCCTTGCAGGTTCTTGAAGATTTTCAACTCAGAAATACCAACAGCACAAAGAGAAGAGATAACTGTTGGAAAACATGGGTTACTGGTGTAGATGCATATTTGGTAGTTAGCATCTATATTTGGTAATTGTGTAAAAATAGGAATGTGTGAATATGTATTCCTAGGATTGTGGAAGAGTATAATCCCTTAAATATGGGGATTAAAATAGTTAGTCCCTTAATTATAGGGATTGATTTAGGAAGATGTTTTCTATTTATTGCAGCAGCTTACTGTATAAATATGCCGGTTGGCAATGGAATGATAAGATCAGTTTTACCATTTCAAAACAATAACCAACCTTCTTTTGAGAGCTTCAGCCAACCATTCACTGCTGAAGTCGTTTTCTTAAGGAAGGAGGTTCTGCGCACCAGAGAGAAAGAAGAGCTGAGATGTTTCAGGCCTAGGACGAACCAGTTTTCTCCATTGACAGCCCAGAAAAGAAAAGGAGAGAACTGAAGCACGAACTGAAGCAGGTCACGAACCCCGCTCTGATACCATGTTTCGACTGATGCTACAGTAGTCCGAACCAGTAAGGAGAAGAAGAAGAGAAGAAGAAGAAGATGAAAGAACTGTCGAACCTGATAAACTAAACCCTATCTGTCGACCTCTTAATAGTGATTAGGCTCTAATTGTACAAAGACTAAACAAAGAGTCTCTAATAAGACTGCCACATAAGCACATAACTTAACAAAGGTGAGTTGACTAATCTACCCTTATTCGGCTAACTCTAACAAATATGAATCTTTATAAACTGAGACCAAGCCAAGAAATTAGTTCCGTCCAACTTTACTAATATTACTTCCCCTAATAGAGTCTCCACAAACCCTTCCAGACCAAATCCGGAATCTATGGAGAGTTGCATCTCACCTTCAGTTAGCTACATTGACCAAACGAAGACAAATAAAAATGAAAATAGGGTATTATTAGTCAAGACTTAATGTCTTAAGTCCAGAACTGCTCTTCAAATAGCCAAATCAGGGTTTTCACCAGACCCAACAAAATGGGAGGAAGTCTAGCCACTCCTACCAGAAGCCACAAAAACCAAACCAACTTGGATCGATCTCAATGATTACCAAAAATCTTCGGTTCTATCCCCAAGCGCCACTTTCAAACTGTCTCTATACCCTATAATCCAGGAGCGGAGCTGTGAAGAAACTCCCTGATGTACCATATTACTGTAGCTCTTATTGTATTGCATTTCTTATTTCATTATTTTCTCTTCAGCCCTACAAGGGCCTCTCTGTAAATTCTCTAATATCTGTTGCCCTACAAGGGCCTCTCTATAAATTCTTTAATTTCATTATCTATATAAAGGACCCTTGGGGCAGGGTCGTATCTTCCATTTTCTTCACCCCAGAATTCTGTATTCTTCTCTGGGTTTGTTGACATGGTATCAGAGCAGGTTGCTCTGTAATTCCTGTTCTTTCTTTGCTTTCTCATTGGCCATATCAGGGGTACTGTTTTCTGGGTGTTCCAACTACTGTTAGGGCTGTGCTCTTCAACTCCAATCCTAGTTCTCTGTGGAGGTTTCTGTCCAATGTTAGGGCTGTTCCCAGATCTTTTTTTTTTCTCACTCAGAAAATCTGTGGGATCAGAAAAGTCTTGAGGGAGTTCTGACCTTCTCTCTTGAGTGGCAGAAGCCTTCTTTCTCCTACTGTGAACTGGTTCCTCCAGGGCGGCAGCAACCTGGCTTCTTATAGTTCAGTTTTGAACAGTAGCAGACTAAGAAATATCAAAAGTCTAGCTTCTTTCTCCTTCAACAGCAGCAGTTTTGAACTTTTTTTCTGGTTTCTTATGCTTCAGACTGAGGAACTTCAACAAACATAAGGTCCTCTCTTCAAGTTGATCTGGAAAAATTCTCATTTCAGGTTGGTGTATCTCACTATTGTCTTAATCGACTATTATCAGTCCTTGAAACCCTAGTTTTGTGCTGCCCTAGGGTATTTTCTTCTCTTGGTTATCAGTCCTTGGAACCCTAGTTTGTGTTGCCCTAATTTTGTGTTGTTCTGGGTTGTTTATTGGAGGATTTTGATTCCTCTATAAAGTTTCTTGCTGAAGTTGCTCTGGATTGGTGTTGTCTGTATTTCATGCTTCAGCCCTGATATTATTTTTTTTGTTTTTGAGAAATACTGTGTTTGGCTGAAGTAATTCACTGCCTTGTTCATTGCTGATTTAAGTGCACTGATTAACATTGCAAACATCAGTGCTGCTATCCTTTTCCCTGGGTTGATTTTGCTCATTTATGATGGCTGAAAAGATTGACTTTCTCCCTGTAAAATTTGATGAAACTAACTACAATATGTGGAAGTTCCTTTTCGATTTCTATGTTGTAGGAAAGGGATTTGAAGGTTACTTGAATGGGACTGTATGTAAACCTAATGAAGCTGATAGCAAAGCCTATACACAATGGAAGCTAGACAACGGAAAGTTAGTCTCCTCGATTTTGAGCTCCATTGTGCCTCACATTAATGTTCCCATGAGAAGACTGAGGACTGCCTATGAGATGTATTCCTATTTGAAAAAGGTTTATCATCAGTCCAAAAAGATAAAAGAATACTATGCAGGATATATTGATCTCTGGGCTGAATATGAACTAGTTCATACTGAACCTTTTGATCCCGTTGAGTGTGTCAAGTATTTGCAGAAGCATTTTAAAATAGAAAAGTGAACCAGTTTCTCATGAGGCTAAGACCTGAGTATGAAATAATCGGGTCAAGTATTTTGAGTAGAGGAACTCTTCCAGACTTAGATTCTATGATGGAAGAGTTGTTGAGGGAAGAAACTAGACTCCTACCTGCTGCAAAAATAGAAGGGAAACATCTTGATTTAGGGACTGATACTGTTTTTCTTGCACGAGGGAATAAGAAATCTAGTGGAAAAGACCCTTTTAAAACTCAATGCTATGAATGTAAGGGATATGGGCATATAGTTTCTCATTGAAAAAAGAAGAATTTTTGCACCTATTGCAAACAACACGGACATATAATTCCAGACTGCCCAATTCATCCACCCAAGGGTCCCATGAAGAAGAATCAGCCACAAGCTTATCAGGCATCTAAGGGGTAAGTGTTTGATACCTTTATTGCCAAGGGAGAATCCTCTGCTTCCATGAATAAGGAAGAGATACAATACAATAAGAACTACAGTAATATGGTACATCAAGGAGTTCCTTTACAGGAGCCAGGGAACCCAGGGGAGACATGGCCCCCCTATGGTCCAGAAACCCCCCTACTAGTAATACAGTTTTCCATTTAATTTTCCCTCCACCCCCACTCCTTAANCAATTTATATTTATCCCCCCCCCCCTCAACTCTCCAAGAACTTGCCTTGGGCCTCAAACCAGCACTGCAATCTCTCTAAAAACCTCCTCTAACTGGATTGAACACTTTCTATCAATTAACAAATCAACTCTCTATACGACCTATGTATGGGATTAAGGAGAAGAGAAGAGAAGGTAGGACCTCCGCACTGATACCAAGTTGAAAATCCCACCTGCAATAATCTGAAATAAAAGAAAAGAAAAACAAAAGAGAAGAAGAAGATTGAAGGATATGGAGGATAGAGAAATGATGGAGGAAGAAGATGGAAGAAAGGGAAGGAGAAGAGAGAGTAGTTCAATCCTCTCTTCAGCCCCCCAACAATATCTTTTATTCTCTAATTGTAAAGATGAGGACAATAACATGGTTACCCTTAGTAGGACAGCCAGCACTAAAGACAATAATACAAGAAGGAAAATAGGCCCACTACTAACAAACATCAGTCATAAACATAACTTAAAGAGAAAAAGAAACTAAGGCCAATTCAGCCCATCATCACATAACCTAAGAAACATAAAGAAACTAAGGCCCATTCGGCCCATCATCTCTACAAATGCCATTTCAAACTGCATGCTCCATCAGGTTAAGGGCTATCCCTGGATCCCATCCTCAATTATTCAACCCATATTTGCCTGTAGTAACTTTCCTCCACAAGCTTTATTGAATCTCCAGAACCATTTCCCTAAAAGTGCTATGTTTACCTTTTTAATCTCCTCACACCTAGACCACTGGATCTTTTTAGGGAGCAAACTTTGTTCCAATTTACTAATTGAAACTTAAACGGGTCTTTCCATCCAGCCAATAGAAAGCTCCTCATCCTTTCCTAATTGTTTTGCCACACCTATATGTGGAACAAGGACAGATAATAATTGAGATGAAAGACAAAACATTTCTAAGTACTTAAGTAACAATAATTCCTCCTGGTTCTGTGCAAGACAACATAAGATGATTACCTGTTACCATAAATGGGGCCTGATTTGGGCACATCCAGTTTTTGGTAAACTGACATAACCCTATAAAAAGACAAAAGATTCACATATTTATAATGATATTTTTTGGTGAAATATTTATAATGATAAAGATTAACATGAAAAAACGCACTTTTTTTCCTGTTTGGTAGGGAGATGTCCAGTTAATCAAAATTGGATGTGCCCAAATCAAATAAGACCAAATTCTTTGTGATAAATAAGTATTTTAAGCATTCAACCAGTACTTAAATAAATTTAATAAAAATAATCATTTTATTGTCAATTAGATATGGGGATTTTTGGATGGGTTCCCTTTATACTTCAACAAAATCAAAACACAATAAGTTAGATATGCAGAATTTTTTATTTCACTGTATCAAAGTATGCATGTAAGTGGAGTTTCCTGTTCTTGCCTTTTAAATAAAAAAGTTTTTATCCAATAAAATGATATAAGTGGAAAAATATATAAAGAAGAATGTTATTGCAAGTTCAGAATGTAACAAGAACTAAACAGAACAAAAGAATTCAAGACACCTCATCAAGAAGCTCTGTTCGGCCCTTTCCTGCTTCAACTGCAGCTAATGCTTTCTCATGACATCCATGTTGAAGAAGCCAAGTAATATGGTCTTCAGCATCCCTAATGATAAAACATATTTACATAATACATGAGGTTTCAAAGTCAGGCACCATTTGCATATTTCAGGATAAATGATTCCACAGATATAAAAGCAACAACAAGATCTTAACATTATTAAATAACACCACCTTCAGTAAAAACCAGAATACCAAACTAGTCACGGTTGAGGAAATTAGTGCAGAAACAATGAGCAAATAAAGGTTCTCATAGGACATATCCATCATATATTTAATCTTCCTTCTTTTGGGCATTTTCTAAACTAAAAGTTAGAATTAAAAACTTAGATCATTCTTATCATTTATCACTCAGGAAAAATACGAGGTTCATAGGGCTTAGGCACTGTAGGAGTGATAAAATGTCCAAATGTCCCTAACTGAAGAAAGGTCTAAATTGGCCAAGAATTCTTTTTTTTTCACCAATTTGACCAAGAATTCTCCATGTGGTAGAAATGGGTGGGTTGGTCTAGCAAGTAAGGGTGCAACATGGGTGGGCCTTTGACAAAATTTGAATGGGCCCAGCCCAAAGGCCTGAGCTGGAAGCAGTGTAAAATGCTAGTTCAGGCCAATCCAAGTTGTACCCCTACTAGCAAACTTTTCTAATGGACCTGATCGAGAAGCTGGTTGATAACAAAGGAATAGTATAACCACTTTTAGCATGTAAGGCAGAAAACTCCCAACATGGAGTAGACTTCACTTAGAAGTATCAAGTATCAACAAGCACATAAAGAAGAGAAAATAGAAGAGGGAGCAAGAATAACTTCCACTATAGCTGCTTGCTATGGTAGAAACAAAACAAAACAAAACAAAAAATCTTTTTATTCAGTTCTTAGTAGGGAAAAAACAATAAAATAGAATAGGTTGTCCTCTATAAGACCTATTAACACTCTTTTATATACCTAAAAAAACAACTTTTGATTTGTTCGTGGAGCCTAACTCCTCTGTTCATAAAAAGAAAAAGGAACTTTCTTTTCAAAATAGGACACTTCTACAACTTTCTAATTCTACTAAAACAAAACATAAGAAACCAGGAATTACTAAAAATAGTAAGTCATTATTTACTATAAATCACCATCATGCATCATCATCCTAGTCTTATCCAAACTTTTATTTTGAAGAACGTAAGATTGTATTAATAGCATAGGAAAATAATAAGTGTCTGTACAATGAGATCCTGTACAACCACAAGTATTCAAGTATCCTCAAAATAGTTGACAGCCAAAAAAGAAGAGGAAATCATTCTCCTTGAAATAAACTGAGGTTGACAGCCATTTCCTAAGAGCCTCAATTATGCCATTTACCACTCTTTCCATGTTGCTCTTCTGATTAAAAACTCTTAGAATTTCTTTCCAGCCACACCATCCACAAGACTTCTAAAGGAATGGTTGACCAAAAATATCTTCTTTTCCTGCCCATTTCAGCAACCTCCCACCCCTATGACAGCCTGAACAGATCCTGGCATGCATCCTTGGTATAATATGGCCTTGAAGAAAAACATCCTGGAGAAACATGTGAATGGAAGGCTCTTCCTCCTTCCTGCACAAGGAACAAAGGGGATCTGGTACATTAAACCCCTTAATAACATCTGTTTGGTTAGAGATATCTCCCAAGCTACTATCCATGTGAAGAACTTGACATTTGAGGGGGCAGCAGACCTCCAGATGGCTTTACTGGGAAAATAGGAAATAGCTGCTGTATCCAAGCCAATAATTCTGAAACCTGGTGAAGTTCCTAATCATTAAAATCCCTTCTGAATTCCCAGGTCTAATCCAGTCACCTTCCAACACATAAGAATCTACCACCAGTGCATTTTTTTGTTACTAGCCAACATGTAGAGTTCAGGGAACAATTCACATAGAGGTCTATCTCTGCCCCATGGGTTCATCCAGAACTTGAGACTGTTTTCATTTCCAAGCTTGTATCTGATACCTTTCATAAAAAGGAAATACCTTATAAATCCCTCTCCAAACACTGCATCCATAAGGCTGCATGGGGGTGTTTGTGTTCCAGCCATTTTCATGAGAACCATACTTTTCTATAATTAATCTTCTCCGTAGCCCATTAGGTTCTGAATTGAAACGCCAGAACCATGCTCCTAATAAAGCCATGTTGAACCCTTTGACCTTCCTTACACCCAATCCACCACTTGATAAAGGTTGAAAGTAGCTGAAATACTGGCCAACACACTTTTAATTAATGTCAACTTACCTTCCTTAGACAGGCATCTTGATTTCCAGGTTGCAAGCTTTCTTTCTATATTTTCAAAAACCAAATTCCATATAGCTTTGGAGTTATATTTAGCTCCCAAGGGGATACGCAAGTAGTTCAAGGGTAATGAACCCATGTTGCAGCCAAGAAACTTCTGCTAACTTGGGAAGATTTTCTACCTCCCGTACTGCCATTATCTCACTTTGGGCTAGGTTGGTCTTCAATCCTGAGATCACTTCAAACCAAACCAGCAGATTCTTCAAATTGAACAATTGCACTGATGATGCATCACCAAAAAAAAAACAGTGTTATCATCGGCATACTGGAGTAATGCAGTTTTAAGCCCACTGTTCTACACTTCAAAACCTTCCATGACTATGAGAAATAGCAGAGGAGATAGGGAATCTCCTTGCCTGAAGCCTCTTGTACTCTTTGGGTTCATATCGGATTGGATCCAGGTTGCTAGTAATGGACTCATATTGGATCGGGTCAAATTGAACCAAAACCCAGTCCAATAACAGCCCTACTACCATGTTCCTTATGTTCCTTGACTTCTATCTTGTTACCAACCAACTATTGTCCTCTGTTTCTTTTTCCTTTTTTTTTTTTGATAGGAAACAGTAAATTTCATTAACTTTAAAGAAGAAAATTACAACAGTCACCTCCAAAAGTAAGGTGACCCCTCATATCACAAACAACTTATAAACATGCCCAAAACAAAGTCTCCCTATTAACTCCTTGTTTGCTAAAGCATCAACCAAACCATTTGCTGACCTCCTAGTCCATTTAAATTATGCTCCAAGATCCCTTGTTAGGTTCATTAATTCCCTTACAGGTTATCTACAAGACCAAATGCCCAATCTGTTTGTTTTCATCCATTCTATGACCAACTTTGAATCCCCTTCCTGAGTTATCTCCAAGATCCCAGCTGTTTAGCCAATCTGAGCCCTTTAAGTAGCACCAATACTTCTTCTCTAGGTGAGTCACCCATCCCAATTGGGCCAGAGAAAAGGGCCAAGATTCTTCCTTCCACATCTCTAAAAACACCTCCTACTCTAAAGGGGTCAGAGTTACCTACAGAGCTACCATCAAAGTTCAATTTCACCCTATGCTGTAAAGAAGGGGACCAAATCTCTTGAATGGTAGGAGAAAATGAGGAGGAATCTGCTACTGCACTCCAACCTCTAAACAAACCGTCAACATAAAAACCTTGAAGAGATCCAAAGTTCTCAACAATGTATGACCTTGATGGTAATCCCTTCAATCAGTGCATCTTTTGATTTTTCTTGCCCTTGGAAGATCTTGTTATTCCTTTCTTCCCAAATCACCCAAATAATGGCTGCTCTCATTGTCCTCCACATCACTCTTCCCCTCTTCTTTGGTTGTTGGAAGAAGCTAGAGTCAAAAAGGTCCACCATGCTCGAGGGAGGAATCCACATGCAATCAAAGAGAGAAGAGAACCAATCCCAAATATGAATAAAAAAGGGGTAGGGGATTAATGGATGATTCACCATCTCACCACTATTCAAGCACAGGCTACAGACATGTGGGTACAAGAGCACACCATCTCTTTCTTTGAAGCACATCCAAAGTATTAATTCTTTAGAGAACCACTTCCTAACAAAAATCCCTAATTTTTTGAGGTACAAGAGCACACCAAACTTCTTTAACAGGAAAAGAAAGGCAAGCTAGTAGATTGCAAAAGGGCATTGAAAAATGAGGAACAAGAAAAGCAACCTGAAGATGAATCTATCCAAATTCTACAATCAAGACTAGATTGATCCAGATACACTGAGTTTAGAATCCAGCCAACTACTGTCCTTGAATCACCTCTGCTACTAAATTTCCAAAATCCATCCTTCTGCCATACAAAACTGCCATCCACTAAACTATTGCGGAGTCCCCAATGCCAATAGGTCCTGAAAATAAGGCAATCAATGCCCGCATAGTTTTCTCTATAAACTCCTCCAATACCTGATATGACCAAATTGCCAAGATTAGACCCATCAAAGTTTAGCTTGAATTGATTGAATGGCGGAATCCATTCCCTTGTGATAATAGACCATTTTTACACAAAACTGCCAGTCTATCATCACTCTTTATTCATGGAAAAAAAAATAAACCCAAAAATATCTTTCCATGTGCTTAAAATAGATTTTGTTTAATGGACAAATTGTGTATTATAAAAAATAAAAGAAAGGATGGCATTATTGATCAGAAAAAACTCAAAGGTTGGTTATAGGGCTGATATGGATTGGGGTTGAACATATGACCAATTTTGTAGTTCTCCAATCTAATAGATGGTCTGGATCAGCCACAATATCCCTCAACATAACATAAATATCTGGGGTTGTGAGGCTGTGGCAGAAATATCTATATCATAAATAAGGATATTACTTTGAGGGAGTGGTTAAAATGTCATTGGCTCTCTGATTGGTTGGAATTCTTTTTCTATAATTAAAATCTTAAAATATATAAAAAAATCTTAATCAATAACATATAAACCTAAAAACAAGGGGCAATAAGGTCAGTGTGATTGACCCTAATGCAAACACTCTTAAACTCATCCGCCTAAAATAAAACTAGTGACTGAGAGGTATTTAGGGACAATTGTGCTGGTGGGTGGCAAGAAAGGAATGAGAGGATCTTCCATAGTAAAAGAAGCTCAATAGATTCAGTAGTGCATAAGATAGTGGGAAAGTTACATTCTTGGCTGGCAGTTCATAAACTTTTCAGAAGAAGAAACCACATCTCTTTTTTATGATTTTGATAATCTTTTTGTAAAAAGGGGATATCTGTATAGGGTGGGTGGTATAGTGGCCTTTTTATATACTCCAATATACAGCCATTAGTTGTACCTGGTTTCTGGATTAATGAAATTCTACATTTTACTTTCTCTCTCTCAAAAAAAAGGTATTTAGGGATGATAATTGGAGAATCAGAGCAATGTTCTCAGGACCAATTGGAGTAGGGAACTCATTGAGGGCAGAACTACTGGCTATTCTGCAAGGAATGAAAATGACAAAGTCTATGAATATCAGAAAACTAGTGATTGAGGGAGACCCCAAAGTGGCAATCAGTTAGCTTCACAATAACAGCAAAAATGATGTGGCAACATTGACCTGTCATTAAAGAGTTTAAATGGTTGACAAGGGGAAGGGAAGTTTCTTATACGTGGATCAAAAGGTCAGAAAATGGTAAAAGCACAGACTGCATACATAAGTTTCAGTCTGAAAAAAACATGCCAATATCCAGTTCACCCCTCTGAAGACCCCAGATGTCTGGGACCAAAAGGTCAATGTACTTTGTCCATGGATACTCCCTCTCCCCCACCCCATCCCCCAATCTCTCCTCCCAAAATCCCATATAGTTGGGACCACCAATCCTCTACCATGTGGTTAAGGAATCATTTCATTATATCATTCCCTTTTTTGGTAAAAATAAAAAGAATAAAAACCTAAGAGTTATGATTTAGTGCAGAAAAAATCAAAGAATGAAGAGATTTGAGTCTGCATTGGACAAACTACACATGACAAATCCAGAAGGGTCCCCCCATAGCATGCACAGTCTATATCTGCCATGTCAGTGCAGGCTCAAAATCCTGCAATGGCACAGAATTAAAAAGTTTAGATATAAAAGAGCAAAGAATGCATACACATCAACAAACATATAAGTGCAATCAAGGATTTCATCACTTTTTAATGAGACAGCCCAACCTGAAATACATTTTTGCAATATGACAAGTTTATTCAGGAAGGAAGGTCACATTTGGAGTGCAATTCCATTTGCAGTCTCGAGAGAAAGAAGTAGAACTTTTGAAGACAAACCTAGAGACATCAAAAGGATTGTGTCTGATATTGGATTGATCACAGTGGATTGGTTACTCGCTCATCCTGAATTTAGAGATACATCTCAATCCTCTTTTGGATCTGATTTTTGGTCTATGATGGAAATGGGTAATGGAGTGCCATTATAATTGTAAACTACTCTGTTTGTAAGTTTATAGGTATATATGTAATCATGAGGTTGGCTGAGTTAGATCTCAACATGAAACAGGATGTAATCACTTTTTATTTTATTTTAATATTTTTTTCTCTTTCTTTAAGAAAAAGGATATCATCCCTTTTTCAAATTGGCTGACTTCAACCATTTTGTTCATCCATTGTCATTATTGTGATCTTGCCCTATCCCACCTAAATGGGATCAGCAGCAAAAATCATGTTCCTCCATTCTATGTTAAGGCCATATATTTGTTCAATTGCTGAAGTTCTATTTAGGTAAAACCTACAGAAAAAGTAAAGAAAGAAATAAATAAAACACTAACCTAGGCTTTGCAATAACTACATCTTTTGGGGAAACAATGTAGTACAGTGGTTCATCTCCAGCAGCCCACTGACCACCTGCACCACTGCTACCTGCATTATAAAAGCATAAACATTAGGACTTTTTGGGTCTGTTATAAAAATGACTTCTCAGTAATGAAATCAGGATTCACGTAAGGATCAAAACATAACACTTCAGTGATGGTACAAAATCAAAAATGTTTGCACCTGAAAAAGGAGCATGAGCAAGGGAATAATCCTCTGCCTTATAGTGCTCAAAGCCATTCACAGATAGAGCATCTGTTGCAAGTTCTTCATTTCTCCACGTGACTATACGTACTTCAGGTCTCTGTGCATTTCCCTGCCCAAAACAGTTAGACATGATAATGTAGAGAAGATGGGCCGAATGGCCCATAGGCTATTTATCCTTTTTATCTTTTATGTTCTTTGCTGTAATGGGCCTTAATCTGGGCTTTATTCTTTCTTATGTTATGTCTTTTTAATTTTCTGCCCAACTAGAGGCTTCTCTGTAAATTACTAAAGTTTAACTTAATGAAATAGAATTAAGGGAGTAAGAGAAGGGATTATGTTAGAAAATCTCTYTCTCTGAACCAAAGTTGCCGCCACCTTCTTCTTCTTCTCTCCTCTTGAACTCTGATTTCTGCTACTTTCTTTTGAATTTTTGCAACTTTCTAAACAGTCCTTTCTTCTCAAAAGGCTGTTTTTCTTCTTGGTATCAGAGCAGGCTCGCTTTTCCCTTTTTTTTCACCTTTTTTCCCATACAAAGTGTGTATGGAGAACTGAATCGTATGAATGGTTAAAGAAACCTATTTCAGCCCAGTTGTTAGTGGTTTCTGGAGAGAAGGGGACTGGTTTTGCCGTCCTCTTGGCAGATTCAAGTGTGTTGCCCAAAACCCTAATTTTCTGGAGAAATCTGATTGCGGGCCCCACAGGGAGTTTGACCTGGGCGCTCATTGACTGAAGACCTTCTCATTCTTCTTCTTGAAGATCGAATCAAGTGGATTGGTGTTCTGTGAAAACTACAAGGAGCGGCTGAGTTTTCTCTGTTTCTCCCAGCTTCCGGGTGTGACACAGGTTATTGGTACTGCTGCATAGAGGTTGGCTCACAACACAGTTTTTGTTCTGTCTTCATTTGTTGTTATTCAAAGTTGTTTGAAGTCATTTTTTGAAGTATTTAAGAAGATGAACTCCTCAGACTTTGAAAACGAGCATGTTGCTGAATCCGAACAAGTTCCGGGAGCCTCTGTAGACTCTTTACTGGCTGTGACCACAGTCAAGCTGGATGGAACTAATTACCTGGCTTGGTCACAATCAGTAAAAATTCATATTTGTAGTAGAAGCAAATGGGGTTTTATCTCTAGGAGCAAAAAGGCTCATCCGGAAGATGATCCATCATATGAAAAGTGGATGCAAGAAAATTATACTG